GCCTGACGCCTTCCATCTGCATAGGGAAAACCTCTGCAAAGAACAACAGCTGCAGATAAGTTTCATTCACATAGTTCAGGTACTGAGGTCTTTTTTTTTTGGCTCAGTCATTGTACCTTTGCATTTGCGGTGACACTCATCAAACGCTCCCGGGTTGGGCAGAGGGTTTTCTGCCTCCTCCTGCTGTCCTGCTGCTGGGGGTATAACAGGGGAGACTGGGGGCATCCCAAAGCCCGGCGGCACCGTCAACCCGGGGGCAGCAGCACCGCCAGAGGCTGGTGGGGGAGGGTTGGGGGAACTGGCAGCCAACACACTGCCCATGCTGTGAGGGCAGAGAGGACATGAACAGATGTGAGAGAAGAGGGTGAGAACGTGTTAAAGAGTGAAGAGTCATCACAACGCTCCTGATGAAGATGACCAAAACATTTTCAATGAAACACGAAGTCACAGAGGTCTTGAAAAACTGTGATGATCATTACAAAGATCATACAACTGATCTATTATTGAGAAAATCATTGGGAGATGAATCAATAGACCTTAAAGGTCGTGTAAGGCTCAACACATCCGTGAACTGTCGATACAAATCCTTTCAATTCAGGTCTGATCATCTTGAAATATAGATTATTTAAGGCATCCACGTTTAGTCATTTTTAAAAGTAATATACACATCACACTGGTAATAATGTGATATAATATAGTGTAAGTACAAATAGGGTGGATGTGAGGATATAAAGCTGCACAGCCCTTAAAGTTCAGATGAATGTGATATAACACGTGATGGTGATAAAGTCCAGCTGAGCAGATTTTATACATGATGGTGATTACACAGTGTTAAAGCTTCTATAAGAACAACACACATCAACAGGAAACAGTGTCACAGGCCACAGCAGCTAATGAGTGAGCTGATCTTCATGTTTGAAATAGGTGGAGTGTCCCTTTAACCTTTCACACACTCTGTCCATTCACGTTCAGGTGGAGCAGCGGCGGGCAGGAAGCCCGGAGAGACTTCAGAACAAACATCACGACATCACATCGCGCGGATTAAAGAGAAACCAGCGGCCGCCAGCTGCTGCGATCACGAGACGAAGCCTAACTCATGTTTTGAATGAAAGCTAGCGTGATAACGTTAGCTAGGCTAGCTCCTTTGATAGCGTCTCCAGCGGCGGCTAACAAGCCCGCACACGGACGCTGCCGCGGGGAAACAAACATCGACTGCTCCGCTAGCCGCTGCCGGAAGATCAGCTCACGCATTAAAGTGTGTCCGGAGAAAAAGCAGGTTTCATGAAGCTTCGCGCTAACGATGCTACTCACGTTGTGTTTCCAGAGGACGATGCAGCCGGAAGTTAAACCAGACTTGCACCGAAGAAGAAGAAGAAGAAGAAGAAGAAGAGACAGGGGAGTGACGACTAAGGCCCGCCCTTTTTTTTAACCTGTACGTACTGTGATTGGCTGTCAGGCCCCGGTCCTCGAAAACGATTGGCGGAAACACCCTGTCAGTCATGTTGCCTGTCAGGAGAACCCAAGGGGTGTGGCTTTTTTTTTAGACGGATGACGTTGTGTTTTTGCTCAAGCGCCATTGGCTCGCTGGGGTGAGGTCAGGCGTAAAGGGGTGGGGTGCGATTGTTTTACAGCTCACGGATTGGTGGAGGTGTTGTGTGACAGCGTTGGAGGGCGGGACTAGTGAAACAGCTTCAAGGTCAAATGACAGATCGAGTTTGATGATTTTAAATTAATCTGCAGCTTAATGTTAATAATTTAATACTAATTAGATGATTTTAAATTAATCTGCAGCACAATGTTAATAATAATGTTAATAATAATGTTAATATTAATTTCATACTGATAAGATTATTTCTTTTTCAGTTAAAAAAACATTTAATAACATCAGAACTGTGGATTTCTCAGCCCTTCTTTCTAAATTCACATATTTCATAGTTTCTTAAAGACATTTGTAAATTAAGTTTAAGACTTGACACCTTTCTTCTTTTCAAAAATCTGCTAGACCTGCACACCCCCTGGTTTTTCACTTTAAGTCACTTGACAGACGCTTTTCTTCATTTATAAAGTGACTCCTGGAAGCAGATTCACCCTCAATAGTTTTTTAGAAATCATGTGTCAGTTGCAGGGTTTTTAAATCAGTCACTGAGAGACAAAGAGTCAAGAGACAAATGTAAATTTCGGTTCAATTTATTGAATTTAAGAGCCCTGCGAGTATTTCCATGTTACAACAGGAGAGGACAGAGTGATTCACACAAGTAGTCGACAGATCTTGTGCTGCGTCGATGCATTTTCATAACAGGGAACAAAAAAAAAACTGTTTTTCAGTTACACCCAATCAAAGTCATTAGTTTTTAATCTAGTGGCACAACAGAGAATTGTGGGACAATGACTGAGGAAAATAATTTACCAATTCCCAAAATACAGTCTGGATAAGGGCTGTTGTTTTTTCAGTTTAAAATGATGAAATGCAACAAGGGGCCACCAGGGGACTACAAATAAGAAAAATAAAAAATCGAATACCATATGTAAGAATTTTTATATGAAGGATCGACTGAGCCAACATTTTTATTTATTTTTTTTACACTCCAATTTAATGTCCAACTGTCCTGCATCTCCGATCGACCCATGTCGTAGAGAAATACTGCTGTTGTGCTAACCTGAGCTACATTCAAACCAAAATACGTCAGAGCCAATTAAGAGTCGTAATGTCGCCGTTACATTGACCTACTGTTAAATTCATCCTCAGCTTCCTGCCACAAATCTGCTGAGTGTATCGTTAAATTTGGCCCAAATCGCTGCCTGGCAACGCGGGTGAGTCTTCGTTAGTGCAGCAAATTAATACGTCCAATTGAATTTAGTGATGCACAGTAGAACTATTCTGGGCTAATTCGCCCATTAACGCATTTTTTGAATCTCACCAATTAAGAATTTGCAGAGCCGAAGCAGCGATGCCAAAACAGTAATTCTGTTCTCAAACCCACACCTTTCCTGATTCCCTTTTTTTTTTTTT